TGCCTACTGTCACCACTGTTATTCAGCATAGTACTGGAAGCCCTCGCTAGAGTAATCAGATAAGAGAAAGACATATAGGGAATCCAAACTGGCAAAGAAGAAGTCAAATGGAGATGATATAAACTTATATTTGGAAAAACCTAGAAACTACAAGAAAACTATTATAATAGATAAACAACTTCAGTAGAGTTGCAGGATACAAAATAAACATACAAAACTCTGTAACATTTCTATATGCCAACAGTGAACAACCTAAAATAGAAATTTGAAAAGTAATCCCACTTACAATAGCTACAAATAAAATTAAATACCTAGGAATTAACCAAAGGAATGAAAGATTTTTATAATGAAAACGACAAAACGCTAATGAAAGAAATTAAAGATTATACCAAAAAGTGGAAAAATATTCCATGTTCTTGGACTAGAAGAATCAATATTATTAAAATGTCCATACTACTCAAAGGAACCTACAGATTCTATGCAATCCCTATCAAGATACTAATGACATTCTTCACAGAAACAGAAAAAACAATCTGAAATTTATACTGAACTACAAAAGACCCAGATGGCCAAATCTGTCCTAAACAAAATGAAAAAAATGGGAAAAAAAATGAAACCATGTTACCTGGCTTCAAATTATACTACAGAGCTACAGTAAGCAAAACAGTATGAAACTGGCATAACAATAGACACATAGACCAATGTAATAGAATAGAGAATCCATAAACAAATCCCCACATCCATAGTGAACTCATTTTTGACAAAGGTGCCAAGAACATACACTGAGACAGACTCTTCAATAAATGGTGTTGGGAAAACTGGATATTCTTATGCAGAAGAATGAAACTAGACTCCTGTCTCTCACCATACACAAAAATAAAATCAAAATGAATTAAAATCTTAAATCTAAGACCTCAAACTATGAAACTATTAGAAGAAGACATCAGGGAAAATCTCCAGGACATTGCTCTGGGCAAAGATTTCTTGAGAAATACCTCACAAGCACAGGCAAACAAAGCAAACATAGACAAATGGGATCATATAAAGTTTAAAAGCTTCTGCACAGCACAGGATGCAATCAACAAAGTGAGATTCATGAAGAAATAACCCATAGAATGAGAAAAAATTTGCAAACTACCCCTCTGACAGAATATATAATAACCAGAATATATAAGGAGCTTAAATACCCCTACAGGACAAAAAAAAAAAAAATCAAATAATCCAATCCAAAAATGGGCAAAAGATTTGAATAGACATTTCTCAGAAGAAGATATACAAATGGTAAACAGGCATGTGAAAAGGTGCTCAACATCCCTGATCATCAGAGAAATGAAATCAAAACTACAATGAAATCTCATCTCACCTGAGTTACAATGGCTTATATCCAAAAGACAGGCAACAACAAATGCTGGTGAGGATGTGGAGAAAAGGGAACCCTCGTACACTGTTGGTGGGAAGGTAAATTAGTATAGTCACTATGAAGAACAGTCTGGAGGCTCTTTGAAAATCTAAAAATAGAGCTACCATAGGACACAGCAATCCCACTGCTGGGTATATACACAAAAGAAAGGAATTCAGTATATCAAAGAGATATCTGCATTCTTTGTTGCAGCACTGATTACAATAGCCAAGATTTGAAGGAACCTAGGTGTCCATCAACAGATGAATGAATAAAGAAAATAAGGGCTGGGCGCGGTGGCTCATGCCTGTAATCCCAGCACTTTGGGAGGCCGAGGCAGGTGGATCACGAGGTCAAGAGATCGAAACCATCCTGGTCAACATGGTGAAACCCCGTCTCTACTAAAAATACAGAAAATTAGCTGGGCATGGTGGCGCATGCCTGTAATTCCAGCTACTCAGGAGACTGAGGCAGGAGAATTGCCTGAACCCAGGAGGCAGAGGTTGCGGTGAGCCGAGATTGCGCCATTACACTCCAGCCTGGGTAACAAGAGTGAAACTCTGTCACACAAAAAAAAGAAAGAAAAAAAATAAGATACTCATACACAATGGAGTATTATTCAGCCATAAAAAAGAATGAGATCCTGCCATTTGCAACAACATATTGAACTGGAGATCATTATGTTAAGTGAAATAAGCCAGGCACAGAAAGACAAACATCACATGTTCTCATTTATGGGATCTTAAAGTCAAAATATTTAAACTCATGGACATAAAGAATAGAAGGATGGTTACCAGAGGCTGGGAAGAGTAGTAGGGGGCTGGAAGGGAGGTGGGGATGGCTAATGAGTACAAAAAAAAATAGAAAGAATGAACAACGCCTACTGTTTGTTAGAACAATAAAGTGACTATTGTCAATAATAACTTAATTGTACATTTTAAAGTAACTTAAAGAATGTAATTAAATTGTTTATAACTCAATTGATAAATGCTTAAGGGGATAGATACTCCATTCTCCATGATGTGCTTATTTCACATTGTATGCTTTTATTAAAACATCTCATGTACCCCATAAATATATACACCTACTATGTAACCACAAAAATTATTTTTAAGAAATACAATTTTACTTGTTCTAAATCCAATGTCCTTTCTACTGGATAGTACTTATCAAAAATAAAAGAACAAATGAGAATGACAACTTATGGAGCCAAGTGTGTAATAATTCACTTAGGAAGGAACAGCAAACTACACATGATTGGATTCATTCAACAACAAAGAATGATATATGGACATTTTATTTTCTACACCTGATGCCAGCCAGATAAAGAATTTCTTGGCCTATTAAAGATAGTAATAATATTAGTATTGAGAAAAAAGCACTGCATAAAACTCTATACATGTATAATTGCATTTAATATCTCTATTATATGAAATACATATTAGTATTCATATTATTGGTTAATCTTAGAGCCTATATTTAAGCTCAGAATGATTATTGATTTACTCAATTATAAGAAATAGCTTAACATTTTGACTTCTGGTTTTTAGGAAGAATTTAATAGGCCACTATCAAATTACATAATAAAGTCCAACAAGAAAAATAATGTGGATTAAAGTTTTCAAAGAGAACTAAAAGCCATTATTCAAAATTAGTGAATGGTATTCTTGTGAAAAATTTCTTATCTAGGGTCCATTGTAGAAAAATGTGGTGAGAGAGCCACCTTGTGTTCAAGTTTTGAAAATACACATTTTTTAAACAGTCGCAGGGTTCTGTTTTCAATGTACAGATTACTGAGGTAATTCAGCTACGATATTCTATGATTCACAGGATTCATTACTCTAAAAGGCACAAAGACAAGTGATAGCAGAGTCTGTCTATGCCTCTTTAATTTTTTAATTGTAGCAGCTAGCACAGTGAGACTCATGAAGCAAATTCTCAGCTAATTTCTGTCAAATGTAATTTAACCATCATTCCTTACTGGGAAATAGCAAGATTGATAAAATGGAGAATGACGCGAACGTTGAATGGAAGATGGAGATGATAGGGAGAACAGGGAGGAGTGAAGAGCCACAATAGCAGAACCTTATATCATCATAAATGTTTAAACTTCTGCAAAATACTTTCATTTCTATCAGCATAGTTGAAAAAGTACATGAGACTAAGTGCAGAATCTCTAATTAAAAAGTGAAAAGTTTTGAATTCTTCCTTCACAATATTGGTTCTTTCATTCCATTGACAAAATATATGTTATTTTCATACCAAAGACTCTCCACTTACCCCTTTTCTGCTCAGCTTACTGTGATATTACCTATCCACCCAATAATCACTGAATAAATATTTGTGGATTGCCTACTATGGACCACAAGTGTTCTAAATACTAGGAAGCAATGGTAAGCAAAATAAAAAATAGTCTCTGCTGTTGCAGCCCTAATAGCTAAATGGACTTCTAAAGTAATAGAAGTTACCACTACTATTGCTATCCTTCTTGGCTGTTGCTGGTGGTAACCAATAGTACAGTCAAGGCTTGGATGCGCATGTCAAGGCTCTAATATTTGCAATGAAACTTCTAACTCCTATTATGTCAAAAGCCATTGGCTGCAAAGTTGCTGAAGCCTTGGAACACTGCTTACTGAGTTTTTACTACTTTTATTGCTAATCTCTTGCTCTAAGACTCAGGCATAAGTACTAAGAGGACACATTGGAAGACAATAAGAAAAGTGTTGTCCTAGCCCATGCAATTGTACCACATATTGTCTTATACCAAAACAATATAATTTAACTCCCTTTCCTTAGGATGTTCTTTCATGGAAGATTTACATGAACATACTTCTTATAGTTCCCAAGACATGTGCAGGTATGCCTTACTACTAGAGCAGAGATTGCTTAGGCACATGGTAGAATCAGTACCATTCCATGCATTAGGAAAGTCATTACTAAGTTTTGAAATTCATTTGACTTAATGAGTGAGTTAAAAGTAAAGGCTCACACCTTTTGTCCCAGTACTTTGGGAGGCCAATGCAGATGGACTGAGGTCAGCAGTTTGAGACCAGCCTGGCCAACATGGTGAGACCCCATCTCTATAAAAATGCAAAAATTAGCCAGGCATGATAGCATGTGCCTGTAATCCCAGCTCCTCAAGAAGCCGAGGCAGGAGAATCACTGGAACTCAGTAGGTGAAGGTTGCAGTAAGCCAAGATCGCACCACTGCACTCCTGCCTGAGTGAAGAGCAAGAGTCTATCTCACAAAAAAAAAAAAAAAGTTATATTTTTCCCTTATATAATTTTCTTTAAGGTCCTTGTTTGCTTTATTACTATCTTGTAATTTCCAATTAAATATCATTATTATTATTATTATTATTTTTAGAGACAGTGTCTTGCTCTGTCACCCAGGATGGAGTGCAATGGCATAAGCATAGCCCCTGCCCCCTTGAACTCTTGGGTTTATGTGATCTTGCTGACTCAGCCTCTTGAGTAGGTGGGACTACAAGGTGCACACCACCATGCCTGGCTTAAATATTATTTTAATTATTTCAACTGAGAGAATAATTCCAAAATTGAAAGCAAGGTAATTTAAAATAAATTTACTTTTTTGTTTTAGAATGTGCTACTCTTCATAATATAATAAAAGGTCTACAACATACCATTGAATATCAACAGAATTTGAAAGGTAAGTTAGGGGCTGGGTGTGGTGGCTCACGCCTGTAATCCCAGCATTTGGGGAGGCCGAGGTGGGTGGATCACCTGAGGTGGAGAGTTTGAGACCAGCCTGACCAAATAGAGGAAACCCTGTCTCTACTAAAAATACAAAATTAGCCAGGCATGGTGGTGCATGCCTGTAATCCCAGCTACTCAGGAGGCCAAGGCAGGAGAATCACTTGAACCTGGCAGAAGTTGCAGTGAGCCATGATTGCACTATTGCACTCCAGCCTAGGCAACTGGGCAACCAGAGTGAAACTCCATCTCAAAAAAAAAAAAAAGAAAGAAAGAAAGTTAGGGGAAAAAAAGTAAAATCTAAAAAAGCATTGTTTATTTGAGTAGCTTTTTAAAAATAGGGAATTTTTTCATGGTTGATAATGAGTTTCAACTAACCAGCTAAGAGAGGACTCCTTACTTCTTAAAAATACTTTCTTAGATGATTATGAAATTAGAAATTCTATGCTGAACAGAACAATTCGGTCATATTCTATCTGATAGTGGCATCAAAGGATCTTTTCTCAAAAGTCATATAGTTATTTTTATTACCTTCAAAAGTTTAGAAATCTATTTATTCTCAGTAGCATTCTTGGTCTTTAATAACACTATGTTCAGTTTTGAAGAGTGCATATTACTAATTCAACCATAATTTTTTATTTAAACCACAGTGATTATTTACCATTTAATTTTTTGTCATAGACTGACTATATTTGTGAAAGTGAAGTCAACACATTTGGCTTATCTTATTTTTTTTAAACAATCAAGTTATTCAAACAGTCCTACCATTCACAAAACAGAGCAACCAAGTATTTTGTGCTGTTCTGACTCAGCTATTATGGCCATGAGATTTTTTTTCTACTGTATCAGAGATTAAGCTCAATTGCCTTAAAGTCCTCTTTCAAATAAAACTCACATCAAATAGTCACTTCTCATCTTAGATCTCTACCTTTATTTTAAAACAAGCACCCTACATATGTGAGATAAAATATTGATCTTATATACGATTCCTATAATTTGGAGTGCAAAATAAGGGCTTTTATGTTTCTATCTCAATGCTAAGGCTCAAAACAACTTTTCCCTTCCTTGTGGCTAAAATACCACACTCAGCTGGGTTCTCTATTCTGTTCCATAATCTACATGTCTTTTTTTAACAGTGCTATACTGTTTTGATTATTGTAACTCTGTAATACATTTTGAAATTAAGTAGTGCAATGGCTCCAGGCTTGTTCTTTTAGCTCAAGATTGCTTGGGCTATTTGAGGTTTTTTTGTGATTCCATATAATTTTAGGATTGTTTTGTCTACTTCTGTAAAGAATGACATTGGCATTTTGAGAGAGATTGCATTAAATATGCAGATAATTGTAGGTAGTATGGCCATTTTAACAATATTAATTCAGATCCATCCATTTATCTGTGTCTTCTTCATTCTCTTCATCAATGTTTTATAACTTTTAGTGTACAAGATTCTCACCTTCTTTGGTTAATTCTTAAGTTTTATTGCCATCGTGAATAGGATTGCTTCTTAATTTCCTTTCCATATATTTTGTAATTTGTATATAGAAATGTGATTAATTTTTATATGATGATTTTGTACACCGCAACTTTACTGAATCTATTTATTAGTTCTAACAGGTTTACTAAATATATAGTCATGTCATTTTCAAATATAGATAATTTTCTTCTTTTCTGATTTATATGCCTTCTATGTCCTCTTTTCTAATTGCTCTGTCTAGGGTTTCCAGCACTATGTTGAAATGAAGTGGCAAAAATGCTAAACGCACTCCTGAACAATCATTGAATCAAAGAATAAATAAAGGAATTTAAAAAGTATCTGAGACAAGTGAAAACACAACATACCAAAACCTATAGGATGCAGCAAAAGACATTCTTCTAGGGAAGTTTATAGATATAAAGCCTAAATTTAAAAGGAAAAGATATATATCAAATAAGCAATCTACCTTTACACCTCAAGGAACTAGGAAAAGAACAACAAATTAAGCCCAAAGGCAATCAAAGGAAGGAAATAATGAAGATTATAGGAGAAACCAATCAAATAGAAAATAAAAGACAACAGAACATTTAACAAAACTTTGTTTTTTGAAAAAAATAAAATTGACAAACCCTTGGCTATAGTTAAAAAAAAAAAGTCAATAAATAAAAGCAGAAAGAGAAGATGATATAACTGATATTTCAGGGGGCATGAGGGGGATCATAAGGGACTATTATGAGCAATTATATGCCAACAAACTGGATAACCTAGAATAAATAGTAAACTTTCTAGGAACATACCATCTGCCAAAACTGAGTCAGAAATAGTTGGAACACACCAATAACAAATAAGGCAATTGTGTGAGTAATCAAAAATTTCCCACCAAGGAAAAGCCCAGAACCAGGTGACTTCATGGGTAATTCTATTAAACACTCAAAGAAGTAATACCAATTTTTCTTAAGCTCTTCCAAAAAAATAAAAGCAAAGGGAACACTTCCAGACTCATCCTATGATGCCAGCATTACCCTGACACCAAAATCAGACATACACTGCAAGGAAAGAAAACTACAGCCCAATATCTCTGATGAACACAGAATCAAATATCCTCGATAAAATACTATCAAATAAAATTCAGCAGCCCATTAAAAAGATCATATATCCTAACCAAGTGGGATTTATTGCTGGGATGCAAGTATGGTTTTGTATACACAGATCAATCAATGTGGTATACCATACATTTTCTATTTATTATCAAAATGAATAGAAATAAAACACATGAACATTTCAATAGATACACAAAAAAATTTGACAAAACTCAACATCCACTCATGATTAAAACTCTCACAAAATAGGTATAGATGGAAAAGGTAATAGGCATGGAAGAATCTTGCCTTAACACAACAAAGGCCATAAATGAAAAGCTCACAGCTAACATCATAATCAATGGGAGAAAACAGATACGTTTCTCTTAAAGATCCAATACAAGGCAAGTACAAGTTTTAAAATAGCCATTCTTAAAAAATGAATATTGTATGATGCCTCTTGCAAATAAATGATAATTCATTGAGTTCATTTTCCCAATGCTTTTACAGGCCTTGATTGAGCAAGGTGATATATATCAACTATCTATATTTGACCATTTCATCCAATTGATTGCCAAGATAGTATGATTAATCTGCTTATTTAAGCTACCCAGTGGTTTCCTACCCAGCAACTCTTTGCTCTCCTTAATAGGAAACTTTTTTTCTTTTTTAGATGTTCACCCTTCATTCCCTTAACCATATGCCTCAGGGTAAGCAGATTGCATCCAAGCTCCAAGGGAGTTCTTCTGGAATAATTTTTATCTCTTCCAAGAGATGGACTGTGTTCTTCCAGTTATTATAAGACTTGTATATAATCCTAAAATTGTTGCAGACTTCTTGTTTCTAGTCTAAAAATCATGCTAGCAGGGTGATTTTTGATGATATCAAAAAAAGTAAACTGAAAGGACCTGATTTTTTTGGTAACATTATTGATCTGGTGAAGCAGTTACCCTTTGGGGTTAAGAGACTTTTCAGTTACAATGAGAAATGCTACCTTTCTTTAGTCTTATCAGTGAATCTTTTCAGCAAGGACTTATGGATTATGTAAAAGATAAAGCAATGATATGTAGCAAAATATTGCAATTCTTATTCACCTTTATTTTTATCTGAAAATTCAGTCAGTCATCTTACAAAAATTTAGAAACTGGAATAATCCTTTTTCTGTCTGTAAGTTAATTATATGTCACACATGATACACAAGGTTCTTCCTTCTCTGAAGAGAATCGGAGATCTAAAACTGAACAATTGCATGTTTATTTTTTCCCCTAGTATCAGTGTATGGCAGTGTAGTACAGTTTATATGTATCTGGAGAAGAGGATTGATAGATAAAATTAGCTAATTCTAATCAAACTAATCCTTTAAAAATGGACAAGTAGTTTTAAAAAATAAAACATATTTTGAGGACAGTAATAAGTATAATAATGCAAGCAAAAGCAAACAATAAGAAAGTATGAGAGCTGTCACTTCTCCTACCCCCAGGCAAGCTCTTTATCAGACATATTAAGTGAAAATGTAATGAAAGTCTATTAGACCTGATAAAATGATTTTGGAAAATTAATTTATGGAAAAACGGTTGTATCTTAAGAAATGGTTCCACCACTAAGCAATTTCAGGGCTGAAAATAGGTCACTTTTAAGTATTCTCACTTGCAATGAAACATGAAAATAGAATTCTAATTTTAATGAAAATCCTTCAAATGTACCTCAGGTTTCTGGTAAAATGTGCAAGGATCTCAGAAGTTGTCACTCCTGCTAACAAGTAAAAAGTTCAGCAAACTGAAAAATCAACAATTCTTAGTCTTTTGATCAGACAAGTGAGGTTGCAGGACAAGCTGATGTCCCTAAATTGGAGACAGGGAGGCAGATTCAGAAAATACAACTTACAAGAGCAGAACCCCAAAGCAGAAACCTTCCTGTTGGTCAGGCTAGGAAACCTTAAAATGTAATTTTGATAAATTGCAGGAGACTCACTGTGGACAAGTCGAAGAGATTAAAAATTTCAGGAGACCTAATCATAGGGGAGCCCCAACAGTCTGGAAGTTTTACCTGTAAGAGCTCTACTAAAATCTCCCAGTTAAGATCTGAGAAAAATCTCCTCATGTTATTGGCAGGAGGAGAGGAAAAGTAACCATTTTGAAATAATCCACAGCTTCTGTTCTTAACAAAGCCTGACTCAAAAGAAGCTATTTTATCTGAGCCTAAACTATTGATGTTTTAGCCAAGGATAAGCTGCCTTGATGGGGGAGAAATACCCTATTTCAGCTCCCCCTAGCCTTTGCAACTCCAGCCCACTCTAGCCATCCCATCCCACCTAAGAGGAGAGGGACCGAGACGCATGTGAGTAACTCACAATCCAGAGGCACAGGCTTACTGAAAGACTGAGCCCTAATCATAGGACTATAG